CAGTTGGCCATGTTGGTCCTAACAAGTGTTACATGGTCTACCAGCCATCAGCCATTGCAGTTTTCTCTTTTCCCCTAGGTATGTCTAGCCAAACTCTCTCTTCCCTCAGAGGTTTATACCTTCTTAATCTTATGGGGTTAAAGAGGATCCAAAAACTGGATCTTTTTTAAAAAGTCCCTGGATGCTTTATCTTTGGACTTCCCTCAAAGAGAATCATAGAGCAGGAGTCTGTGCCCATGATAATGACTTATATGGTGGCACATTGCTGTCATTCCCTACCTAATTACAAACATGCCCATACATACTCTCTTCTTTTTCTAGAATAGCTTTGCAGCATTTCAGAACATGGGTGGTTATAAATGCTGGCAAGTCCACTGATTTCAAATGTGTATTTTTATGTCCAAAGAGATTCATTTAAAATGTGTCATTCTACATCCAAGAGCTGGTCCAGAAGTAAGCTGAGCTAATAACTCTGTAATGACTGAATCTCTATTAATTTTATCAATTTTTAAAATTGTGAAGACAGGGCTGGAGAGATGGTTAAGAGCACATATTACCCTTGTGAAAGACCAGTTCCATTTCCAGCACCCATGCCAAGCAGTTCAAAATCATAGGTACCTCCAGCTCCAGGGGATCCAGTGCCCTGCTCTGGATGCTTGAGGGCACTACACCTACATCCATAAGCCAATACTCAGATGCACCTATGCATATAATTTAATTTTTTTAATCTCGAAAAAAAATATACTGAAGATAGTCCGTTTATTGATAGTCCCTGTACCATGGCTCAAGTTAACTTACAACTTTTCAACTTTAGGATGATGACATAAGAGTCTTTGATAGAAAGCATATTCTGAATTCTGAGTTTTGATCTCTCCTTGGACTAGTGATATCTGATAATGTTTTCTAGAAAGGGAAGGTGGTAACATTAAGCCCAGGTTAGCCACCTGACTGTGAAGGTAAATGAAGGTAGACAATCAACACTTGCTAGCATACTATATTGCAGGCATTATTTGGATATTGTGTTTTACATCCCATCATGTGAATGAAACACACATCTCTCTGTGTGTATGAGCTTTCATTACAAAATAGACTTTGTGGTAGATGATTTTACCCAGCTATTGGCTAATGCAAATGTTCCTGGGAGCTACCTAATCATGCTTAAGATGGGAATGATAGCCATATTAAGTGTGTCTTCTAATTCCAGTACATAAAATTATTGTAAGGAGAAATGTATCTGTAATTTGGACCCTCTTATCATTGGACTGAATCAATAGGGAGCTTCAGCTGAGAGACGAAAAGTAGACAAATCATTCAGGTTTCTCCTTTGCATCTCCCTAGGAATGTCACACATCCCTTTTATATTCTTTTATATTCATGTGGTTTTTTTTTTTTTTTTGGTTTTTTGAGACAGGGTTTCTCTGTGTAGCTTTGCGCCTTTCCTGGGACTCAATTGGTAGCCCAGGCTGGCCTCGAACTCACAGAGATCCGCCTGGCTCTGCCTCCCGAGTGCTGGGATTAAAGGCGTGCGCCACCACTGCCCAGCTATTCATGTGCTTTTAATCAAAGTACTATTTACTCCAGGCTTTAATCTCCATATCCTTCAATTTCATATCAAGGAGTTCCAAAGTCCTGTGACTTGAGTGCACCTCTGAAAATTTTTATGTGGACTTAATGTGATAATGGAGACTCAGTTCTTAAAACAAAATGATGCTTGGTAAGAAGCGACATTCAGTGAGTCTCAGTTGTGGTGGCAGTAGCTGTTTTCTTGGAAAAGAGGTCTCCCCAGTCTGCATGTGTGTGTGAGTGTTGGTCACCTGTGATAACTGCATTAAATAACATGTTTATAACTGCTAAGAATGTGGGTAGAGAGCCGGGCGTTGGTGGCGCACGCCTTTAATCCCAGCACTTGGGAGGCGGAGGCAGGCGGATCTCTGTGAGTTCGAGGCCAGCCTGGGCTACCAAGTGAGCTCCAGGAAAGGCGCAAAGCTACACAGAGAAACCCTGTCTCGAAAAA